TAACTTCCGCTGGGCTATTGTCCATTTTTTTCCAAAATATTTGTGTGTGTGTGTGTGTGTGTGTGTGTGTGTGTGTGTGTGTGTGTGTGTGTGTGTGTGTGTGTGTGTGTGTGTGTGTGTGCGCGCACACAAACTTGTATCCCTCCCTATTAATATTTTCTTTCTCCTGGCCCAAGTTCAAGCTGCTCTGGTCTTCCCCTCCTTCTTCCATCACACACACTTCATTCCTTGGATGGCAGACATGATGATCATAACTGAGCCCTGCATGCTTGTGGGAACACCTAGGTAGGCGTCTTGAGGTGCAGCTCTCACCGGGTATAATGACATGTTGTGACTTGTCATAAATGTGCATTGTAGAGCATCGCCAAACATTAGTCTGTAGTCACACATTATTATCGCCTACACTTTTTCAACATCTGACAGCCCAACACTTTAGTCTTTTATCATCATTTTACCTCTGGGCATTTGCATGAATAAGCCAGGCATTCTGTCTGCAGAGGAGTAAAATAGTAGATGAATACACACACCAAAACAAAGACTGTGTGTGAATGTCTGTTATAGTCTCCTGTCTTTGCTTGCACCTCCTTGTCCTCTCTTTTGCTTCACGGTTGTTTGTTGCTGGAGGTCTGATTGCATGTCATCCTCAGACCAGTGTGTCGCTGAATGTTTATGTGACCTAATTTCGGCACAGAGCTAAACCAAAGAAGCACTATCGACTCGTATACTAATAATCTGAAGTTGCACAGTGAATGCAATGTAAAGTACCTGCACCTCCCAGTAGTGTACTATATGTGTGATTGTGGTTGTAGTTTGGTTCACAACAGGGCCTTTGCATAGCATTTAGCTCGGTGATTTTAGTTGTTTACCCAAATCATCAGGAGGGTATTTGCCTAACCTCCTGGCATGTGCTTGTGCTTCTTCAACAGCAGCTGCCTTTTGAACCCATGCTCTAAATAACATCCTTACAGTCCAAGCCATTGTTGTGTAGATCACGGTATAAAATAATCTACACTCTCTATGAAAACACCACTTAGCTCTAAAATATGTGTTCTTATAGGATTTTGGTGAATATTAAACGTAAAAACAAAAAAGGTATAAACCAATCCAGTGGATCTCATGTCTTGTTCACTTTTTCTATTCAACATTCAAACATGACTTGCTGGAAGGCATGCGTGGCTGTGGTAGACCTGATGTGTCAGATATAACTGAAAACCATGCTCCCATTTCCCTTAATGTGTATGGCAGCATTGATGAAGTTGTATGGTTAAAACATGGTACTGCTTGGGACTATGCTGAGTTTTGCAGAGGCATGTATACAGTGCTGTGCAAAAGTCTTGAGCCACCTTTCATTTCTCTAGATTTTCTTAAGAAAATGTAAAAAAAATTTCTTTTTTTGTTTGCTTGGGGTTTTTTTTTTTTTTTTAACATGTGAAAACATACAAAGAAGTGTACCTTTATTCTTCAAAAAAGCTTGAACTCACTTGGGGCGATCGTGGCTCAAGAGTTGGGAGTTCGCCTTGTAATCAGAAGGTTGCCGATTCGAGCCCCGGCTTGGACAGTCTCGGTCATTGTGTCCTTGGGCAAGACACTTCACCCGTTGCCTACTGGTGGTGGTCAGGTGCCAGTGTTCGGCCGCCTCGCCTCTGTCAGTGCGCCCCAGGGTGGCTGTAGCTACAATGTAGCTTACCATCACCAGTGTGTGAATGACTGGATGTGTAAAGCGCTTAGGGGTCCTTAGGGACTAGTAAAGCGCTATATAAATACAGGCCATTTACCATTTAGGCAAGCTTTCTTGGAATGTATTTAAGTATACTTCAGGAAAATGTCTCCTGGCATCGTGAAGGACATTCAAAGCTCTTCTTTGGATTTTGACTGTCTTTTGTTTTGTTCTGGGCTCTGGGGAATGTCTAAAGATACAATGTAAAATCGATTGTTTCCTAAGTTATCTATTACATGTAGGCATAACATAGGTTCATCCTATGTAGTAGGTGCCTTTTTTTTACGCTTGAGTGATTTATAGGTCAATGTTAAGTGGCTTAAGAAGTACCAAGAAATGAGTGAAAATGCAGCCAGTGTCTAAAGAAAATCTTTAAAAAGGCTGGCTCCAGACTTTTGCACAGTACTGCACATGTTGTAGCTGGAGCTGGAATGTTGGGTGCTCTTGGTCAAATTATCAGTGATAGAGAAGTCATTTGAGTGAAAAAGAGTAATACACGTCAATGATTGAGCTGCATTATTGACTGGTATTTCTACTCTTGAGTATTACAGAAATTTATATCATCATGGGAATACTAATTATCCTTTTAAATTATCTGTTTAGATGACACTGTTGTTTTCTTTGTCCTTATTTATTAATTTCTTTACTAAAATAACATGATATTGCCTAGCCTGTCAGTCCAAAGTTTTTGACTATAAGATTAACAGGCCCAATAATTCCTCTTTTGTATTTCTGCTTCTGGTCAATGTGCATTTTATTTTACAGAACAGATGTCCCAGACCCATGCTATTTAAATGCACTTGCCAAATCAGCAAGAACTGAAAACTGAAAGGAGCACATCACCAAGACTCCAGAAGTTCACTTTATTAGTCATAGTCTTTAAAATCTGCTGCATAGTATTTTCTGTGGATTAGGACGAGAGAGAAAATAAACGATGATGATGATGATGATGTGTAGAGTTTAAAATCTTTCAAACTCATGCTTCAGTTTTTGTTGTAGTTTTATTTTACACTTTTTTCCAGTAGCTTTGTTTGTGCTTGATTAATCATTTTTGACTAAAAGTAGAAATCTGCTCTTATATTCTTTTAAAATTGTTATTGTGGTTCTCCAACCTTAAATGAAGTGTGTTTCTAAATAGGACATTTGAGGATAATAACTTTAAAGTGGTTTTCGTCTGTGTATGGTTAGATTCCTGGTAATGGCAGTGGGTAATATGAGATATGACAGGTCCAGGGTAGCGAGCCCATGTGTGTGGTAATAGTGATTTGTGTGTGTACATGGGTGTTTTTCATCTGGCAAAGCTGGGTACACAGCAGAAATTTAACCCTGCTCCCCCAGCCTACCACCACACCCACCCAAATCCCAGTCAGGCTCAATAGATTTTATAGAAAGCATATTGTATAGAGACAGCCTCTCCACCTCCTTTCTCTCTTGCTTTCGTCTCCTCCTCTGCTGTGATAATTAGTAGTGGGGTAATACCAGGGGTTGAACTGAGAGAGCAAGAGCTCTGAAATCCCCTTTTCCACTCCAGTGGGGTAACTACAGCAAAGGCTTCCCACTCCTCACATGATCACCTCAAGCGCTTTCAGTTGAAGCATGGTGTGTTTGAGGTACTTGCATGTAAAGTTAATCCTGAAAAGTGAGCTAACCTTAAACTTAGCCAGCCTCACCCTATGTTATAGTTTTCTCTTGGACGGGAAAACGGCAAGCCTGCTAAAATGAGATTTGAGAAAGGGTGTCTCCAAGCTCATTGTAAAAGGAAAGTCAATGTCTCAACACATGCTAGGGAACATTAGAGGTGTCTGTCATGAAAGCCTGGGCTTTATAGAGAAAACCTCATCTCTATTCACCTCCATGCCTCCAACATCTGCTGCTGAGGGCACTCCAGAGATCATTAACCCCTTCACTGCGCTGCACGGCTGCCTTTCTTTGTTGCAGAGAGGAATTCAGGGTGGAAAGAGAGCATGAAAGCAAACCAGGAGCCTTTGTGAATTGAGTCTCTTTAAGGTCAAGTTTTGAGAGCAAAAACGCAGGCAATTGTTCACATCCAGATTGTCCCTGGCACTCCCTAGTGTGAGCTACAAAACATCATAACAACTGTGAACAACAATGACTGACATAAGAAATGTCTTTTACCATACAGGGTTGGGTTAGGTATGTGTTTCAAAGTGGTTTCCACTGATAAATAAGCCTAGAGCACAGTTTGACACGAGATACATTTAGTGGTTTGGTGCTCATTTCAGTGTTTTGCTCAAACAAACCAGAGGGTTAGCGTTCTGTGTATACTCTTCAATGCCTTGTGCGTGTACTGGTGTTTTTGCATGTTTACATGTTCACATGCCATCAGTGAAAGGGAAAGCCGGCTTTTAAGATGCCCAACTGAAACCCAATCTCAAACTGACATTCTGGGAAACTCTGAGCTCCCTGACATAGTCTTTGACTTCTGTAGCTCTTCATCAGAAAGAGGCCATGATGTGAACGTGTGCAAAAATGTCCAGACTAACATGGTCTTTTCTTTTTCTTGTTTTTTCAGACTTTACAAAGCTTAAGCTGCCCTGGATTTTCATCTAGCGACAACTGCCAGTCAGTCTTGTCCCCGCCCACCTTGGACTTAATCGACCAACCGGATTCAGACTTCACAGGCGTGTCTGAGCTGGGACTAGAGTCATGGCAGGAAGTGATAGGAGATGACGAGGAAGAAGATTCATCTTACGAGGATAGCGACTCCGCTTGTAGTGTGGACTCACGGCCTGGGTCTCCTGTAGGCATCGAAGATGGTAAACGCACCCTCTGGAAGGGTGACTGTGGGACACAGAGGGACATTTTTCAGCTTGGGGGAGAGCTGGATCTTGAACAGATCGAAAGAAACTAAACTTTGCATCAACGATTTTAAGACTGCGTCTGGACTGTTATGGAGAAATGACTATTAAGATAAATATGAGGAAAAATAATAGCTAATTTTGTAAGGGAAAGGCTTTGAAAAGACAAGGATGGTGATACATATGATGAAGCATTGCATATGTTGCTAATGGCTGGCTTCTTTAATGACACCTTTGCCTTGAACATTCTTACTGTTTGTTTAAAAAGCAGTAACCTTAGTTTGTTTTGTGTTGGGTTTTTTTTGTTTTGTTTTTTTTTTGTTTTGTTTTTTTTGGGTGTTTTTTTGGATCAGATATTCAGCTTAACTCAGGAGTGGGAAATTGAGGGTTTGTCTTAAATAAGTGTCTCAGCCCCCCGCTGTCTTTTAACCTGATGACCTTTCCAAAGTCAGCTAACCTTAAGTTTGTAGTACTGTAGCAGTAGCTGGGCTCTCTTATATTTAGCTCAAATTTGTTTTTCCAGAGAAAGTGGAGGGCATCAACAATGGGGTGACACAGAAAGAGGCAAAGACAGACTTACCCTTGGCCTTCCTCTTCATCTTTTGTGCACACGTGAAAATCTGATTTGTTTTTTTTGCTGAATGTAGGCTCAATAAGCTTTATGTGGAGTTCAGAAAATGTAAAGTGCCTTCTTCTGGATGCTTGCTGTCTCAGTTCTCTTCAAGAAACTTGCCTCAATCGAAGCCACCTTTTCTGACCCAAATAGACAAATTGTATTTTTTGAATTAAACACTGAATCTCAAATTGTCAGTTCTAACATCAGTGTATATTTTTCTAAGTAACAGGTTGTTTTTTTTTAATGAGCTGTTTGTGCAGGATTAAGAATATAAGGTCTTTGTTCTATAAGAATGAATATGAAATAAACGTACATCCTGCACTCACTTGTCTGGTTTAATTTGAGTTTGTAATTTTGCAATGATTGCTCAGTGGTAATCAAGATTTCTGTAAAAGATAGCTTTCACCCAGACAGATCAAAAGTCTGAACACGCTGCAAAGTTTCCAGATAATCTTTAGAAGCCATACCCACACGCAGTCGTTTCCTGCATAACATTTCAGAGCCATTTCATTGAAGCTCACTCAGCTTGTATTGTTTTGAATACCCGCAGGTACATAACATGATTATGCACCAAATCGTTTCTCTGTAAAAAAATTTTCTCTGTACAGTGGCTACCTAGGCTATTGAAGAATACAGCAAGTTGGGTTTAAAAACAAAACAAAGAAAATTATATTGGTTGTGTGCAGTTCCCAGACAAAATGGCAGGATATCTAGCAATGGAATATTCCTGTCCAGTAACCCTGCACTGGACAGAGGAGGTGATGTCAGGAGAAAATGTGTGGGGAGCCAGACATGTAGACCGGACAGGGTTCTTCCACTCTGGGATTTCCTATCATTTCTGTCCAAGCTTCTGAAATAAGCTCACAGCACCGTCACCTTAATAAGACTTGCCTCCATTTAATCTATTAAGATTAAATTTGAGTCTTGTCTCATCATCATCATTGTTATTGGCCACGAGGGAGGCTGATTGCTGAAATTAAGTGATAGGACAGATTGGTTTTCCGGCATGGGGAGGAAGGCACTCAGTCCAAAACTGTTTATGCTGAAAACAGGATGTTGGAGTCACTTGCAGCCTTTCCTTCAATGATGGCCTTGAAGGAAGGTGAACTCCGACATCTCAGCGCTTAGGTGTTGGCTTACATAAACATGCACCCAAACATGTACACTTATTCAAAGGCCCTGAAATGGATACTGAATGTGCTATGTTTGTATACACAGAAAACCAGTCACCTGGCCTGGAAAACTGGATTAGCCATTGCTTCTCTTTCGTTCCCAGTGGATCGGTCCATCTGATGTTGGAAGAATAAGGATTTGCAGATGAGAAGAAGGTCACATGGCTCAGATTTTGAACATGGCACATGAGAAGAAACGCACGATGTCTGAAAGTTCACACTTCAATGGTGAACTGGACACAAAAGACTGGAAACATAAAATCATGTTGCTATCAACAGTAGTCTGGTTACTCGTTGCTCCCAGAGGTCAGTAAACCACACGCACATACGCAGAAAACACACACACATATTTCCTCTTTGGCAGGAAGTGGCATGCTAAGCGGGGGAGAGAGTTAATATCTGAGGTAAAAGCACTATAAATAGGGAGCATTGTAGTTATGGTTGCCAAATGTAGACTTTGGAGAGAGGGAGACAGGAAAGGCCACGTTAGACAAATTTACAGCGCCCTGGACTGATCGACCTACATTACATGTGAGAAGACATTGGCTGCATTTTCAGAAAAAGCTTCACTTAAACACTGTCAGCAAAATGACTTCAACTGTCCTTTGAGAACTACAGAGGAGGGGAGATTAATGACATCAGATTTTCATCAGCCTTTTCAAGTGTAATCTAGTGTTTGCGTCCAGATGGGTGGGAGTCGTACTTGCACTTCAGCATTAAAGGATACTGAATTGCTTGATGCCTCAAAATCTCCTTCGGTTATGCTCGTCTGTGGCTGTATACTTGAAGCAGAGGCTGCTTGTTTTGTTAAAAATGGCTTTGTCAAGAATAGCAACAGGGAAACAGATGAAGTAAGAGTTGAGCAAAAAATAGCATTAATATGTATAAAAAAATACACTCAAGCAAGAGAAGTGGTTTGTTTTTTGAGTGTCACTGTGTCTCCCATTGTAATTATGCCATTCCTGTGTAAATGACTGTCTGAAATCTTTGTGGCACAGTTTCAACAAGGTCTTGGAAACATTCCTCAGTGACTTTGAACCATATTGACATGATAGCATCAGAAAACTACTCAAGATTTGTTGGCTGCTCGTTCAAAATATGAATCCACAATATCCCAAAGGTGCTTTGTCATTCTGTTAGATTGAGATCTGGTGGCTGTGGAGACCATCTGAGTACAGTGTGATGTTGAAGGAAAGCACTTTGAGATGATTTGAGCTTTGTGATGTTACGTATTGTCTTGCTGTAAGCAGCCATCAGAAGATGGGCACACTATGGTGATACTCAGGTAGACTCAGTTGGTACTAAGGAGCTCTAAGTATGCCAAAAAATATTCCCCACACTATTACACCATTGGGAGGACGAGCCAAAATGGCAAAATGGGCCATGCTTTTATGTTGTTTACCACAAATTCTGAGGACAGGTCTCAGGGTAACTGGTCTTCTGCTAGTGTAGCCCATCTACTTCAGGGTTTGATGTATTGTTAATCCAGATGTGTTAGCCCTGAGAACTGGCGCTCACTGCATATTTTCACTGTTTCACACAATTCCAGATAGGTTGTGTAAGAAATTCCCAGTAGATCAGCAGTTTCGGAAACATTCGGTCTAGTAAGCAATCATGTCACATTTACAGCTGCTTAAATCAGCGTCTTGATGATGCCTACGTGCCTAAAAATGCTGGGTTGCTGACTTGTGATTGGCTGATTAGATAATTGCATTAACACGTGGGTCAACAGGTGTACCTAATGAAGTGGCCAGCTAGTGTACATCATTTCTGGTTTTAGCATTTACACTGTTTTACTATATACACCATAAACCACAAAAACCCACAAACTTTTGTGGGTTAACATTCAGGTAGTAAATGCAAAATAAGTGAACATCAATAAAAATGTTTAAACATTTAAAATAACGATGATTGTATTTAGAATACAAAATGCACTGGCAGTTGTATTGACATCAGTACTATTGCTTCCAGGCCTTTTATTACTTCACATTGAATCAAACTTTGTTAATAAGCACACAGTGTGTGTTACGTGTAAGGGAAAAGAAGAGAAAGGCTTCAGTTAAAACCAAAGTCATAATTATGTAAAGGTAGCTCCCAAACGGGCATTCCCACCTCGTTGTCCATGAGAGAAAAATGCTGACAGCTGCACCTTCTGTTTATTGACGCTACATTTGGACAAATGAATCATCCTGCTTTTACCTGCATCTACATGTGTGCTTGGAAGTGCTTTGGCAGACACCTAGTTAGACAGGTGGCTGGGAGTGTCATATGTCAGTGACTGTCTAGTTCTCCTCACAGAGGTGATAAAGTGCAACCCAACACGTCGTCACCATGGTTCCCATGAACACAGTCCCATCCCTTCCCCCTCTCAGTGTGATTTACATCTTCATAGTATCCTGTAATGACTGGTTTTCTTATACACCAGCCCCAAGAGCACCTGAAAATCCCTGCTGCACAAGCTGTAGATATCTCAGATCCAATAATGAGCTGACTTTCAATAAGCTTCATGAGTACAAAAATAATAACAATTAAAGTTAATGTGCTTATAAAATAAAGTGAAAGATTATTGGCTGCCTGATTTGCCTTTTCCAGCAGCCCTATTAATCAATAGACATTTATGTTCTTAACACAAAAACCAATAAAAAGCAGCTATAAACACTTTAGGCCATTTGAGTACTATTTGTCATCAACTTCAGAAATCATTTGAATTAAAGTAAGAAGTTATGTTGTTACTTGGAAGGTATGGAATGACAGAATAATTGTATCATCTGCACAGTACCTGACCAAAAGAAAAAAAAAAAAAAACAACCAGGAAAACCCAGACTTAATTTTGTTACACTGCTCATAACGACTGCACAGTTTATGGGAAGCAGATGGTAATATTGTTTGGTGTTGATGTCCTTTGTGGTATTCCCAGCAGCTCGTTCAAATATTCAAATCAAGTGCTTTTCAAAGGCAATGATCAATGCTGCCAGCTCTCCCTGTTATAAGAAAAAAAAAAGTGCCACAGGGCCACAGACTGACAGCAGACTTTGACAACACGTGCACTGCCAAGCATTTATTCCATTTTGGAAACATGTTGCCATGCCACCCAAACATTTCCAGTTCTACATGTGATGCAACCAAGCATGTGTTTTAGAGAAAATGAGAGAGATGAAAGTGGGAGAAGGGCATTTTACTCAGTGGAAAGACGTGTGCTGAGTGAGAGGAAACACATGCTCCTTTTTTCCTTTTTTTTTTTTTTTTTTTTAAAAGGGTAGTACACACAGGAGACTGGCTGTTGACTTGCTATATACACAATGATGACTGAATACCAAACAATGGGAGACTGAAATAGGCATGTTTTTGCAGCGGCTAGTCCTCCTCCATCCATCACACCGGTTACATCTGGGTCAGCGAGTGCTGCCTGGATTGACTTTCCCCCTGCTGTACATCCAGAATGGCTGCTTCTCATGAATCAAGACAAAATATTAGCCATGTGCTGGAAATTTAAGTCAGTGAATATCTGGAGAAAATGTGCTTTGGTCTGTCTGTCAACAAGCAATAAATACGTCCTTGCCCTTTCACAACAGCTCAGTTTATATGTGGCAACAACATTTTCTACGAAACTGTAACACACTGTGCATAGGGTTAAATCCCTAGATCATGCAAAAGCACTGCACACAGATTTGTCATTACTGTATGAAAGTCTTGATTTATAATCTGGCTTCAGGTCCTCAGAGGACGCTGCCCTGTCAGTTTGACTCGCTGATGTTTGTTTTGCATCTCCAGTTGGCAAAATGACTGACCAGAGCAGACAGGGTTGACTCAGGACTTGCCACTTGGTCTGCAATCAAACTGAAATCAGCGATTACTCAGGGGTGACTATGAGAAACAGCTTCGGGAGCAAGAAGACAGTCAACACAGCTGCTGCTTGGCTGTTCACCTTTGACCATGGGCATAAATGTAGATAGCAGTGGATGATAGCACGGAGGTGTCATGCTCACACTGCCTGAACTTTTGTAACCACCACCTGCTGTGATATTGGATGTAAAATGACCCCCTGGGTTTGAAAACATCTTTACTGTACACATTTGTAAGGCAATATTATAGTTTATAGTACATAGTAATCACTGCGTAATAAAGTGTATGGTTAGGAATGAGTGGCCTTGAGTCCTTACATAGTTAAGCTGCAGTAGGCCTAAGCTGCTGGGGGATTCCCATGATGGTGTTTCTTCTTCACTCACGTTTTCTCACTCTCTACATGTTTATACACCCCTTTACATTTAATCATTAGTTATTATTAATCTGTAGCTTTCTTCCACAGCTTGTCTTTCTTTTCTTCCTGTTAAAAGAGTTTTTCATTCCCACTATTGCCAACTGCTCAAAGGTGATTGTCTGATTGTTTTGGTATTCTCTGTATTACTGTGGGGCCTTTACCTTACAATAAAAAGCACCTTGAGAAGACTGCTGTTATGATGTGTCACTTTATAAGTATAATTGAACTGAACCAAACTGAATTAAAAATATCATAGTGTAAATGTTTAAATGGGAAGTAAAAATATGAGAGAGACAGAGAGAAAAAGATGTCACTGCATTTGTGCAATATTACACAAATGTTTGTTTGATATTGTTTTTATAATATATAATTATATATACTGACTGGCTATATATAATTATATATATATATATATATAGATGCTATATATATTATATATATAATAATATATATATATATATATATATTTCATATATTTCTATATTTATATTAGTTACCAATTTATCCAGCCAACTGTTATAAACTATTTATCAAGCTGTATCCTCTCACACATCTAGTACATCAGTTACTTCAGCTGGCATGGTGACCTTAAAATGGATAAACTACTGCATATATTATGCAGCACAACACCTAAATGGCTTTGCATTAGTCAAATGTATGTGCAGTAGGTGTTTTTAGTTTGACCAGACGTTCATGATAGGTAACTTTATTTTATAAGGGGCTGGAAAATAGTGAGTTACAAATAGTATGTCTTTTTTTTCTTCACAGGAACAACAAGAGAGGGACAAACACACATTGGGCACTTCATTAGGCACACCTGTTGGGCTAAATGTTAACACAAATCTTTGATCTGACAGTCAGCCATGACAGAAATTCAATGCGCTTAGATGTGTAGCGAGTCGAGTTGATTTGCTGAGGTTCAAATTGAGTATCAGCATGAGGAAGAAAGGTGGTTTAAGTTATTGGCGGTTGCTGGTGCCAGACAGGCTGCTGTGAGTATTTTCAGAAGCTGCTGCTCCACTGGGATTTCCCCAAATGACTAGCATTCTAGTATTTACAGAGAGTAGTGTAAAAATTTGAAAATTAGAATTCAATGCTTGTCACCAGTTTTCTGCTACCATTTGTCATTATTTTTTTATATAGTTAGCAAGTAACACTAGAAGATAATTTACAGTTCTTACTCCCACCTACCATATTCTTGTTGGTGTTATTTAAATGGAAATCTGTTTGAATTGCAAAAGAAATGAGGTATGTGCATGGTACTGCAAACAGTTTATGAAGCATGCAGTCCTTATCCTGGCTGAGGTTATTCATCTTTCTCAAATCTCTACAATACATCTAAAAACATGAAATCAGCCTCAGTGGTCACAACTGAAAAAATACAACCAAAACCTCAAAGATACGATATCTCAAATGATTCCAGGCGTGCAAAAAGTAGAAATGCTGAAATGTGTTTGTTTTTTTTAGCACTGTAGCACTTGTAGCAAGTGTCAAGCCTTTGCAAATTTGCTTCAATAAGAATTAAAAACATGCAGTCCAAAATATGACTAAAACAAAATGAATTGAAACCAGGCTTGAAATATGTTGTGTTTTAAGAAGTGTGTTGTGTAGATACGAGAATAATAAGTTTGCTGTCTATCAGATCTACTCTACCAACCTACAGCTGGGCGCTGTGGGTGTGTCCAGGAAAGGCGCCTGCATTGGCCTTACATCTATAAACATAGGCAGACGAGTAGGCAGCAGTTGCCGATGTTATCACAGGAGACATTAGCTGCTGGGCAGACAGCAAATGAACATAAGAATGCTAATTAGGTTCAAATTAAGTCCCTGGATAAGCTGATTCGTGGGTTTCTGCCTGATGAACAAACACACCTATTTGACACTTGATTGTGTCAGTAGATTAAAAGGATGTAGTAACAAAATATGCTTGATCTTCTTAGTCATTTTTAGTCTTAAAATCAAATACGCAATTTAAGAGTTTTACAGTCAAACAATGCCAAACAGATTTGCCAAAATGGCACGAAAACGCTTTCAATTATACAAACCCAAAGTCATTACTGCTTTCTTGAAATTGAAAATAATTCTTTCATTAAAGAAGTTTCCCTGGGATTGTTTCTCAGGAAGTCTTCAATTAGTCCACTCATCCTTTGACAAGTAAATGTTAACATTTCTTAGACTGAAAATACTTTCAGCTCCTTTATTAGGATGAAGATTTCGTGTATTTTCCAGCTCATAGCAGCTGCATGTTTGGCTTGCACAAAAAACTTAAAACATTAATTAATTAATAAAGACACGCTGTTGTCACAGCTACTTAAGTCATCGTCAGACATATGCATGCACGCTTGACTTTGCTTAGGACACAGTGTATGATGAAGTTAATATTGCAAAACTGGTTTGTTAAGGGAGTTATTTGGCAATGTTCTTTCTTCGAACCACCTCTTTGCTTTTCCTGTAAAGCAATTATAATAATTCCCATATTTCAATTCGCAAAGTGCTCATTAAGGAGCTATGCCTGTGTGATGAATGGATTGAGTTTGATCAATGTTTTCATTTCTTTTCAAGCAAAATCTACGGGGAGGAGGAACAAACAGGATTCTGTGAGTGTGGGAGAAGATATTCTAGATGTGGCTGTTTTCAGTCTTTTCGGGTTCCCACCAAGCACTGACTGATTTCTAATCTGTGCGAACCAGCTTTGCTGCTTTGGTGCGAGTTTGTGTCAAGGATAGATACAGATAGTTTTGTTTGATCTCGGTGGGAAGAGAGAAAATTAGCGTGCGTAGAAAATCCCTAGTAAAGCACTGGCAGCTTGCCAATATCTTAGAAGTAGTGCATCGTGTGTTGCACTCTTTGTACGTCTCATTTTATCTGAGCAAAGATTTCAAGGTTAGAATGAATACATTCTTCCTTTTGCCTGTCTGCTTTGAAGAGAGGGAAAGGTTACACCTGTAACCGACACAAGGAGTGACAAAGGGAGGTTTTGCTGCGTGTATACACTCATCTGTCTGCAGCTCTCTGTTGGAAAGCTTTGACTTTCTTTATACTTGACTGTCGAGTCTGTCTCCTCATGTTTTCACTTCCCCTTACATCTTTGGTCTCTGTGTTGCACAAAGTAAACCAAACAAGCCGCCCATAAAAGCTCTACGGGGTGATCAAGAGCAAACTGTAGGTGTATTTGTAATGGCAAATGCTCCATGATAGATATATATGAAACACAGAGGACAATGGAGCTCCAGGGTTAGTGTAGTGTCTGTTTTTTCTGCCTCCCTATAGGTTTGCATGACTGTGACAAAAGAGAAAGGTCTCTTCCCATGTTTGCACAGTGAGTGCTTTCCGAGTGTGCACCATGCTTCTGTACTTTTCTCTGCACAGTCTATGTATGCCTTTTAGCAATTAAAGAATGCGGTTGCCTGTGTAGGAGTAAGTCGCTGTTTGTGTATCGTACTGAGTGAGTCAGTTGATGCCCTTAATGTTTGTCTGAGATTTGGATGTTTCCTTTTATTTGGGCTCTTTTTACTGACTCCCTTCCTTTTGCATGCACTCATAATCAGTAAGATGAAGGGACGGGAGGGAGTGTTGGAGGAAGGAGTTGAGATATGGGGTTCCCATATCCTTTTTTTCCCCTACTCTTCCTCTTTATTCTCAATCTCTGCACTCCATCATGGAGCTGTGCGAGCCCTCCTCTATGGTGCACGTGGCAGCTCTTTCCCAAGAATAGGGAGCATAGTCCATTCCGAGAGAGGAAGTTAAACTGTCACTGATGCTCCAATTTAAGCTTCCTGTTAAGATTTACAGTTGTAGCATGGCCCACTCTTTTACACATGGATCCTCATGCTGCTACAAAGAGTGACACGCACCCCCCCCCCCCACACACACACACACACAGACATAGATATTTGTGCACACCCATGCATAAGCACTGACATGCATGCATACCACAGGCGTACAGTCCGAGTGCACACTGTGCACACTTCTCTCTGTGAGAAAAGAAGAAACATGATGGGGAGATAATGAGTTGTGAAGGGGAGAGTTGTTTAAAGTACTGGACCAAGAATGCAGCAATAACACATGCGGCCAAGTTTAAAAACTTGTCCTCTACAAATATACAGTGTTACAAGCCAAACTGTTGTTTTTCACAATGCTTGCAAGTGTGAGAAAGCCAGTCAGGCCACAAACATTTTTCATCCTTTGTCTCTCATCGAACGCTGGATATTTTGTCACCTGAGGTAAATACGAGTAAAATTCACTATGTAGTCTATAAAGACCTTGTAAGAAGCTAGGATTTGGAAAACCCCATAGCATGCTGTTCATTTTCCCTCCCCTGCACTCGCCAGCCCACTCCACCCGGCTATTATGGCGGAGTTGCTCTCCAGGGACCCCCAACACAGACACTAGTTTGGAAACCCCAAGCATGCAGACCGCGTGCATTTCAGTGAGGAGAAAAGGGGAAGGAAGGACAAAGAGAAGGAGAGAGCAGCTTTGTTCCTGGCTGCATCTTCCTGCGTCTGTGATTTCCATCCCGTGTGAATGTAAACAAACAAAGACATGAAAGAAGAAAACATGGCCAGCATGAAGAAAAGAAATGATTTAGAAAAGGATCAGAGGAGACTAACAAAACAGTCCAGAGGAAAAACATGTCTTGGCAAGAGGCGTGAGATATAAGTCACCAGCTCATTTAATGGTGCCACTGCCAGACACTGAGACAAAAAACACATGCGGGCAACAAACTTTGGCTCCTAGACACATTGGCACAGAGAGAAGTTACCAAGAAGCCCATGACAAACCTCTGACACTGTCTAAACTCTAGATACCCAGACAATTTGCATGTTTATGCACAATATATCACTTATACTTTACAAGCTTAAATGGTTGTAAAATCTATTTTGTATTTCGTTGAATACAACAGCTGTCTCCTTTTCCAAGACGATATCAATTTTTCATGAATTTCACTTTTCAAAGTGGAAGCCTGGGTGCAGGTTGCCTGTCTCTTCACACAAAACCACAAGGGCAAACATGATGACACTAGACAAAGTGGTTGTGCAAAAGAAGAGGAAGAACTGTTTGCTTTTTGGCTTTAAAAATAAAATGACATTGGCCTTGCAGAGATCTGTAAATGCCATTCCAGTTCAGAGAGCACATCATCCACCAACAAGATCAATGGCCTTTCAAGCAAATTTAAAGGAAATGATCTGGATTTGCTCCAAAATCTAATGGGTTCTTCTGTGACTGTACTCCCCCTCGGTTTGATTTTTTCATACATCTTGGAGTGAGTTGCACAAGTAAGTCAGCTCTTGCAC